TAAATCAGTAAATTAGTATGACAATATAGCATGTTTGAATTAGAAGAAAGTTAGTGAATTAAAACGAAGTAATTGCAATGATTGTAAGTTTGGCCCCGTTTGGTAGATAGCGGATTGAAGGTAAATTAGCGGATTGGACTTAATTGAGAGGTTTGACCCGTCAAATCCGCTATTGAGTCTGTTTGGTAAATAGCTTATTTGATAAGCTTTTTGGGCTCAAACCTCTAATTTAGAAAAAGCTCATTAGGGGAGCTTTTTGGGGATAGAGGATTCACAAAAAAACTTTTTACTTGGAACTTTTTAATTTGTATTATTTATTTTAAAATCTATATTGGTTTATGGTGCTAATAAATGATAATATGTCATCTATATGATTAATTTATCTAGAAAAATGTAAAATTCATAACTTCTTCATCAAGTTTTAGGCAATTTAAAGAAAAAAATAATATATTTATAAATTACCAACTAAAGAATATTAAATGTTTTAATATATTATTATTAAAAAAATACACCCTAAATAATAAAATATTCTTATTGGTCATTTTGTAATGTCAAACAGCTATAAGCTTTCAGCTATTTACCAAACACTTATTTAAAAACCGCTAATGCAATCTGCTGGTCAAATCAGCTAATATAATCCGCTATCCACTATCCGCTGATACAATCTGCTATCCGCTATCCGCTATCCGCTGATCGCCAAACAAGGCCAAATCATCAACCACATAATTTATTTTGTTTATAGTATATTCGTTTTTATCCGAAAATGAATTCTAGGCTACCCTTACCCTTAGCCATACTTAACCATAATTACCGCTTAATTATGCTTAAAACTGTTCAAAACATGTTCTACTTTCAACATTGATTAAATTTGAACACATGTGAAATGACGAATGGAATGTAAATCCATGTAATATGAATGTCGAAAGAGAAGACTTTAATTTGGACTGCACATCTCCGATGCATCACTTTCAAAAGCTTAAAATAGGTTAGATTTTTGATGAGTGGCCTTTCAAACACGCTTTGAAAAACTAGAAAATGGGCTTCACACTTTGGATTATTACTTTCTCCATATCAGCATAAAAGAGTCCATAACATTATGGATTGGAGAGTAATTTTTGTAATCACTTTATAATTTGATGATCTGGCTAACATTTTATTAAGTCAACATCTCAAGTTTACTTTCTCAAATAAACATTAAAAGAAAATATCATTAATAAATTACTTAATTATCCTTACTTTAAAACTAATGAAAACTTTCTTTCTAAAGTACCTCAACTTTATCTTTATTTCGCTTTTGACACCCAACTTTTCACTTAATCAATTCATATACCCACCGAAAAAAAGCATAAAATTAAGAAAAATAAATAAAAAATTATATACATAAAATGTTATTTTAAATTGAAGCCTCGTATAAGATATAAAAACATCAAATTTGATCAATGTTTTTCATAAAATAAAAAATAAAATGAGAGTTCACCCATAAAATTTAGACAACTCCGTCGCGTGCTGCTGGAAATTTAGAAACTTCACCGGCTTTTCCTGATGAGTTATTCCAATTCCGATACTATTGAATTTCTTATGAAAATATCTTTCTATACATATATTTTTCAAAAAGCTAACAATTGTTTAATAAAGTTTGAGGAATGTTCGTAATATGAATTAAACATGTCAATATTGGATAAATCGGGTTGAAAGATTAAAAATAATATATGATTTGTTGAAATTAACTACTGGTATATGAGCGAAGAACGGCGGCTAATGGTGGTGGACGCCGACAACGAGTGACGACGTGATGGTTGAATCTTAAATTAATCAATTCTAATACGTTCTTTATTTATTCATCCTATTTTTAGTAATTTTTAGTATATACATGCGTTAGAAATTAAATACAATATAATTTTTTAAGAAAACAAAATAAATCATAATTTAAATTAAAATAAGAGTATAATAGATATTTTGCAGGCTAACATAAAATATCACCGTTTGTTGATCATTCAATTTCAAGATATCCATCAACTCGAGTCTCTAGTTTCTTTAAACGAGTAATTAAAGAGTGAAAAGAAAAAAATGAAAAGAATTGTTGTCATAAATATATGATAAGAAAATTTGCGGTATCCTATATACATGAAGTTTTTTAAGTATCCTATAATATAACTATTTGTGTGCGCTATGAATATTGTCGTGTTTGGTAATTAATGTGTTGTGCAAATTATAAATTCAGGGGTACATTACAAATTTGACTCGTTAAATAGTGTAATAATTCATTATTTGGTCCTTTTGAATTTAGAAAGCTAATTAAAAAAATACTGTAGAAACAATTTGGAATGTATTATTAATAGTAGGTATTTTTACATAGCATATCATTATCTTTATTATTAGTTATTTACTGAACACTTTCACAGATATAATCATCTCATTTTAACACTTGGTCAAACTTGATAATTTGATTTTTTTCATTACAACATATGATTTCAAATATTTTGAGTATAGAATGGATAGATTTATATATAACAATTTGTTCATCTTTCGAGTATGATTTGATATAATTTATCTTTAAGCCTCTAGCTGAAAATGATAGAGTTTTATTAATAATTTGTAAATTAACTAAATAAATAAATATCAAATAATATAATATTGTTTATTTATATTTTGGTGCATCTATGCAACAAGCTGAGCTACAAATTTGAGCTTAAAAATAATATCCGGTGGCCACTTTTTTCCTTCTTCTTTTTTTTTTTTCTCGNGGCATAATTTTGTGCGGCGTGGTTGTGCGTGTAGGGGTAAATTCAGGATTTTTTTTTTATTTTTTTATTTTTTTTCATTTCGTTATCGTGGATGATTAGTTTCAAGGTTTGGGGAACAATTTATTCATGGAATTCAGTTCGTTTTCTTCTGTTTGATTTTCTATTTTAAACATGATTGGGGATACCTTTCGGTTGCGGAGTTTGAAATTATGTATGAGATTCATGAGTTTTTAGTTCAGTGGTAATTTCTTGAATGGTAGAGACAGCCCGATGTCTAAATCAATTAGTGTATTGTGCACTTATGTTTTGAGCACTTATATAAATAATTAATTATATTCACCAGTGCATGAGTGTAAGAAGTAGAAGCATAATACTGCAAAATGCATAAGTAGAGATTTGTGTATGCATTTAGCAGTTTGTTGTGTGGTGATTTTGCTTTTGTTTGCGATTTGCAGGGTGGGGAAGACCTCACTGATGAACCAGTATCCTTGAGAAGTAATTAATTTATTTGTGACGTTACTATTTTGTCTGTCACTAATCAGTATTGTGAATATAGGTTTTAGTTAGTAGTCGGTTGTTATCCTTCACCTGTCACTTAAAGATATGTGAATAAGAAGTTTAGCAATCAATACAAGGCTACAATTGGGGCTGATTTCCTGACAAAGGAAGTGCAGTTTGAGGACCGACTCTTTACGTTACAGGTTAGGCAGAAACATCTTTTGTTTATCTATGATTAACCATGTCACTTGTTACCTTTAACTCACCGTTAATACACACAAAAGTTATAGATAAAATGGTGAGAGAAATTGGATTGTTAGCTTTAAAGCAGTTTTTAGTTTTTGGTTTTGGATAGAGAAACAATGTATCATCATGGTCAAGCTGAGATGATAATATGATGTTGGTTTCTCTAAATAGCTTTTTGAATATTTTTCTATTGCTAGTTGCTGTGAACCATGTGTTATTTATGGTGGTTATCATTTGGCTGTGCCCTTTGGTATTTATGTTTCTATATCCCTTGAACTTGGATTATGTGGGCTTTGCCTGCCCTAAGCTTGAGTTTTGGTTCAATTAGATATGGGACACTGCTGGTCAAGAAAGATTTCAAAGCCTTGGGGTTGCCTTTTACCGGGGTGCTGATTGCTGTGTGCTTGTTTATGACGTCAATGTGATGAAATCATTCGACAATCTAAACAATTGGAGGGAAGAGTTCTTGATTCAGGTATTTTAATTTTTTATTTTCCCTGCCTTCTATTTCATGTGTTCGATACCATCTGACAATATAAACATGAGATTTGCACCTTCTGTGCTGCTTCGATGGACTGTTGATATCATATATTGTGCATATTACTCGTACTATGGATAAGGAGTATCAGCCTCAATGACTCCCCACGATGGAAAACGAGGATGCTTTGTTGTTACATAAACAGGGACAAATGCAGGGTTCCTTTCAAAATATTGTATGGGTGGGTTATTTCATGAGTGTTTGTTGTCCCCTTCCCTCTTATTGGTTCAAGCCCTGAATTTTTCCGGTGCTTAATTTCTGTCCCATTTGATGCAAATTAACTAGTTACAGTAATTTTGTCATTTATAATAAAGAAAGTATTATCTTACTTTACTTGTTATGTATTTCTTTTCTTATCATTTGATGAGATGAAAAAAATTTATTTTTAAAAAAAAATCTTATAGCAGAATTTCATTACAGGCAAGCCCATCAGATCCGGAAAACTTCCCATTTGTTGTGATTGGTAACAAGACTGATGTGGATGGTGGAAACAGTAGAGTGGTAATTTTCTTTGGGGAAATTCCATTAGAAGGCTCAACTTTTTGATATTGTATCAATTTAAGGCTTGAATTTTATTCTTTCTCAATAGAAGACCTATATTTTAGGTTATTCTCAATTTAAGGCTCACTTTTTAGTTAACTCTCCATTGTAAGGCCCAATTAACTTTATATTTTGATATAAATATGTGAACCAATTAACTTTATTTTACAATATAGTTATGTGAACAAAAATAATTTTTTATTTAGTTTATATTTTACATACTTATAATAAATATCTTAAGTAATATTTACTTAATAATAAAGCGAAACTATATAAATTATATTTATGCAAAAGTCTAATCATGAATAATTCAAAAAAATGATAAGTGAATTAAACAAATATGTAATGGAAAATATTATTTTTATTAATAATATAAATATGTAATAAAACTAAAAAATAATACATAAATGCAATCTACAAAAATATATCATTTTCAACAAGCAATGACATAGTATCAACTTTTGCTTCTAAAAAGAAAAGTTAAAATTAATTTTTATTAATATAATTTTACTAAAGATATTTATTATTTTTTATTATAAGTATGCAAAATATAAATTACAAATAATAGTAATAATAATACTTTTATTCACATAATAGTTGTTTTACATATTTATATGAAAATGTAAAATTAGTTGGGCCTTATAATGGAAAGTTAACTAAAATGTAAACCTTTAAGTGAGAATAACCTAAAATATAAGCCTTCTATTGAAAAAGTACAAAATTCAGGCCTTAGATTAATACAATTACTAAAAGTTAGGCCTTCCAATAGAATTTTCCCAATTTTCTTTCTAGGTTTATTTCTTCTTATTCTTTATGTTTTGATTTCCTTGGTTCGGGAGGTCCCCTGACTATTATCATTCTGCACAGATGGACTTGTACTGTTATACTTATATACATGTTTGTTCTAAATTTTATCCACACAATCCAAGTTAAGGGGCGGTCTCATGTCATTTTTCCTCTAAGTTCAGATGTCAATTTTTCCTCTAAGTTCATGTGTTAAATAGGTTGCAATTTTTTGTGTTTTATCTTAAGCATGTCGTTTATAAGGATTGAGGAGGTGGTATCCAATCACATGTTTGTTTATACCATCTCAGGTATCTGAGAAAAAGGCTCGGGCATGGTGTGCCTCAAAAGGGAATATTCCCTATTTCGAAACTTCTGCAAAAGAAGGCACCAATGTTGAAGAGGCTTTCCAGGTCATTGCTAAGAATGCTCTCAAAAGTGGAGAAGAAGAAGAAATGTGAGCACACAAAACCATCCTTATGTTTGTTGTTTCCGATTAATTGCAGTTATTAATGTACTCAGTTTATTTTGTCCCTTCATCATTATTTGATTATTTACAACAATCTCATGGGAAAATTGTTTGTAGTTTAGAGCTCAAGAAATACGCAGGCAGGCTGAATTGCTGCTCGTCTGTTAACTTCTTATAATTATTCCTTTGCATTAGTTTGCCTTTTCATTTCATTAGTAGCTACTGTGTAGATCCCAACAGCAGAAAATTCTAACTTGCTAACATTAATTCTGATGGTTAAGATACTTGCCGGACACAATCGATGTTGCAAGCAGCAGTCAACAAAGGTCAACCGGTTGCGAATGTTGAAATTGGGGTTCTCCACAATGTAAGAGACCTCTTGGAAAGTGCAAGAACAAATTTGTCATCCTTGTGTCTTTCTGTGTTGTCTTAGCTGTACACTATTTGGTCCTATTGTAGAGTGAATTTCATCTCATGGATATTCGTTTGCTTTATTTTATTCACCGGGCTCATATTGTCGATTGTTAGAACTGTTGTTTGTGTAAAGACTTCGAATGTTGTTTCAAGTTCTTTCCTTTGAACACACTGTTGTTGCAACTGTTTTGTCAAAATCTCTTTCTTTTGAACACGCTATTGTTGCAACTGTTATGGAATTTTTTCTCTGTATGAAATTGTTTTTCAATTTGATGATTTACCAGAGTTGATAAATAATTTTACTATTATAAACGTATTATTCATTCAATAAAATGAAAAAAAATGGAACATAAATTGAAGTTTAGAAGATGAAATGTTTTCGTGCCTGTATTGGAGGCAAAGTCTTCACTAGTTAATTTGAAGGCCCCATCAAAAAGGGGGAAAAAACACTTGCATTGCAGTCACTAAAGTTATGAAGTGGCATATACAATGGGATTTTGGAGCATAAAGAACGTTCATAATTTGAGCGTCTTTAACTCAAAATTTTCCTCAAGTCCCCCTTTGCAAGCAATAGCTCCATAATAATTAAGATTTGATATCTTGACTTCAAGTGGGGCAAAAATCCATGTAACTGCCACACGCCAGGGACCTGACAAATTCATAATTGAAATTCAATTCGAATTTACACAGAAAGAGGAAAGCCATATTTCCCTCAAAATAACATCTATTTCAGTGAAAAAAATTGATATGCTTAAGTGAACAAAAATATATGCAATGCATATTCTCAATCAAATTTTTATTTTGCTTTTCTTCTCTTTCTTTTTTCGTGCCCGCAAACCTTTCCATCCAATGAAACTCAGAATCAAGAACACTTGACAAAAGATATCTCTATTTTACGGATCCAGCTTATTATGAAGAATTCCAATCAAGTCAATAGCAACAGAACCGACATAATTTTACTTGCTATATTAATTTGAATTTTTCACAAGCACTCATAACTTAAAAAGGAGAAAAAAAAAATCAAGGTCAGACAGTTGACTCACTTGGCAGACGATAGCCGACTCGCCACACACAGGAAAAGTACCAACTTTTCCCCAAAATAAGTTAACCCAGAAACTATTTCATGCTAATTGAAGAAAGCCCATCTGCATTAGGCTGCATCGTAGTAATTCCAGTTTCACTCCCTGTCATAGTCACACTCGAGCCAGGATTCATCGGCACCATAGGTCTCGAAATAGGAGGTCTGAGTACATTCATGCCCATAAATGGCCTTGTGTTGGGAAAATTAACTGCTGCCTTATTGGGAGGTAAAGCCTGTGAGTTGGGTGGACGGGCCGAAGCTTGCATCCCAAATCGGGTCGCAATTATTTGGGCCCGCTCATGAAAAAGCTTCTGCTTCGACCTCTCCAATAGATCCTTGACCCGCATCACAATGTTTTCCATGTCGTTAAAGAAAGCCAACTTGGACTCCAGCTTGTACAGCTGCAAAAGCTCAATATTATTAAACAAAAAAAAAAAAAAAAACANCAAAAAAAAAAAAAAAACCCAAACAAATTTGGCACGTATTGAATTGACAAAAAGGATCCTTTAAGCATGAAGTATGCTTCCTGGTCTACAGAACAAGAGTAGATTGAGTGAAGCTAGCAAAACCACCTGTTTTTCAATTAGAAATGTGGACAGCTGAAGAATTTGATCTTCTTCTTGGTCTGCAAGAAACTTCGCTTTGATTGCAGCAGCTGAAATGGCTGTCAGTGCAGCTCGGCTTAACTTGTCGTTGACATCAAGGCCATTCTTCGGTGTTATTGGGTCTTTCTTTTCAACAGCATCTTCCTTGCCTTCTCCCTCACCTGCGCTTATACAACAATTAGACAAATCAGAATTTTCAGGTGAGTTCGAATAACAAACCCTATTGATACTTCTAATGCTTCTAAAGGTTACAACACTATCGGTATAGTCATTCTGCAGTACATATTCTGCTCCATGGATATGATATTATAAATAAAGAACACTAAACTCCCTCCAACTATTTTCATAGTTTACAGAAATGTATGCCTACTAGTTCCAGCTTGCTTGTTCAAATGATTGAAACAAGCTAAAAGCAAAATCTGAATCAATACCTGTATTTTCTTTGTCAGTTAATGAATTCGATATCACCATTAAATCAGCTTCTTTCTTTTCAGGGAGGGATGTCATATCCACGTCTTTCAAAGGATCTTTAGACTGAGTTGCCTCCTGGGCTGACTCGCCATCTTCTGATTCCTTCATAGTAGACGATTGAAGCTCAGTATCCACAATTGATTTCTCAGTATCTTTTGGAGTCTCTTCCTTAGGTAAAGCAGAGCTACTCGGCTGACCCTCAGATGTCGGCAGGGCTTCCTCAGGGATCGCCAACTTATCAGGATCCTTAGAAGCCTCAGCTTTCTGTTGATCACTAGGAGAAGCTTCAGTTTTCTGGTTCTTAGAAGCAGAATCCTTGTTCTCGTCAAGTTCTTCGGGTGCAGAAGATTCCTTGTTATTATCATTTTCATCATCACGCACACTGTGGGAATTTGAATCAGCCGGTTCCTTCTGTGATTCAGTATTCTGAATGGTATCCTTTTGAGCTTCAAGATCACTTGCCTCAGTCTCGGCTCTGCAAATTCAAAGGAACATCAGGAAAAGGAATCACAGATACAGTGATGAAAATAATAACAAAGAACTGAAGAGGTAAAACAAAAATACACAAACCCTTCTGTGTTGTCAAGGTTCTTATATTCTGGTGGATCTTCCAAAAGGAAACAGTGCCTTGCAGCAAGCTGCTCGCTGGAGTGATTTTTAGATAGAGATTTTAAAAGGTTGCGAACAGATGCGATGGCAGTATTTGGATCCACCAGCCGTACCAAGAATGCTGCCTATAAGAGAACAAATATCAGGTTATTTGCAAACAGAAACAAGATGCACGATTTTCACACGCGGAAAATGGACTGGAAAAGAAATTCTGGGCTAAGTTACTTATTGTGAGAGAAAAAATTAAAGAAAGAGCGGAAAAGTTTAACGTACCAATGTCATCACAGGATTACCAGCTTCAGCAAATGACATTTTTTTCCCAGGTGAAGGAAGAGAACCCACAGCTTCAAAAGCTTCCTTGAGAGCCTTCAGTGCAAAATTTTCCCCAACGTCATTTTTTGCATCTGATTCTCCAGTCTCATCTGGCTTTGAGATTTCCATTGGACAGGATGAGTCCTGATTATCAGTATTACTTCCCTGGATTTCTGTATTCTCATGGACATCCTTAGGAGCAGTATCATTGTCTTGGTCAGCTTTAGGAACTGAGTTTTCAGAGTTGGTAGATACAGGTAGTCCGTTTTCTTTAGGAGCATCACTATCTTCATCATCGTGATTGAAAAATGCATCCTCAATAGGCATTTGAACAAAATGCAATATACACTGAGCTCTTGTCTTTGTCGCTACATGCTCGGCAATCTCACTCCAGTTATCTCTAAATAATTCTATTGCTTCAAGGAGTAGAAGAGTTTCTTGATCTGTCCATTTCCCTCCACTTGCACCACCAGCTTCAGCAGGTTCCATAAGTATGAAGTCCGATGGAGACATGTGTGATCCAAACTTACCATTGTTGAAACAATCCGCACATAGATCGAAATCAGCCTGTTTACAAATGATGTTCAGCAAACAGAAAACTTCTTGGAACATATAGTTATGTGCAATCAAACAGAGAAGGATTACATGTATAATACACATTATAAGTGAGTCAAAGATACTGGATGATATGGATTCCTCCAGAGCAGTTCTAAATGCTAATTATCACATAGGATGTAAGGTATACAAACTCGTACTGTTGAAAGAATTTGGCAATTAGATTATGCAACCACAAGACCCGGAATTTTATTTCCACATCAAAACAGTGCTAACTATGAAGCTGAATGATGCATAAATTATTTTATTCATAGAATATTAAGAATACTTGTGCTGACAACAAGCGTTCAAAGAGCACAAAATAAGGATTTCTCAATGTTTTTGACGATGATGAATTGGATTGTGATTGCTCAATATATATACATGCTCGAAACAAACAAAAATACAATTTATTGAGCTCTACGTTTCTACCAACAGAATGATAAATAACGTGAAATATCTGAGTTCAGGTGTCTGAAACTGTTCACCAACAAGAAGATTAAACCTGACATATGCTTCTGCAGCCAGAATAAGCAAACAATAAAACGGGAAAGTGCCAAAGAGAGCAAAACCTGCTTCTGACAGTGATAACGTTTCCTCGAGCAATCGGCTGAACAAGAATTACAATGATACTCAACAGCAGGACCCTCGGACTTCACTAGTTCATCAGCAATGACAGATTCCGGAAAAAAGCCTGACGACATGGCTGGTACCGTTGTACTCGCCCTTGGAACAATTGGAGGGCAAGACTCTACCGTTTCGAATTTAAATAGCTGTTCCACCAAAGATTCCATTTTTCCAGCTCCATCCTTATCAGCATCAATAGCAGCGTCGACGGTCAAAACAGCAGAAGGCTCTTGATCTGGAAATGGATGATAGTTTATCAAACCCCAGTAGTCCAGAAACTCCAGGACCTCTTGCCGGGCATCCAATTTCCCAGCCGTAAGCTCAGAAAGATTTTTCAACTCGACTTGTTCACTAGGATTTAGGTGAAACTTCTTCAACATCCAATTACGTATTTCCATATATATTTCTGGTGTCCTACTTTCTGATTTCCCATTAAAGAATGAAGGCAACATTCTCTCCTCCAGTGGGTGGATTTTCGTCCAAGAAAACCAACCTATAACACACATAACAAGAGAATGGCAAGGCATAAATAAAAGATAAGGAACACAGAGCGGTGGAATACAAACCCAAATTTCTTATTAGTCATTTCCCACTTATATAATTGAAGTCAGTCAAGAAAAACACAGTCTGCTCATGCATTGTTCCTTAACTAACCTTGCAATCAAAATTGTATGAAGACACTTACTGAGGTCTTTTATCAGTATCTCATCATGACCATAGTTGCTCTAAATTATCGAAATTGCTGAGAAAAATAAGTCGAATTCCCAAAATCTATCGATTAATAATGAGGGAAAACATTTCTTAACTGCACTAACAAAAACCCTAAGTTCCTGAGACCAGAAAACTAAGCTTCTCCAGTGAACAATTGGCCACAATGCAAAACCTAACTATCTACACAATCACTCCGAGTACAAAAGAATGAGAAATGCGGCCGCAAATTAAATAGCTACACATCTCAATTTTTCAGAATCTACTCACTCACCAGCATGAAGAGGCACCACATGAACATTCGCATCTCTCGACTTAATGGCTTCGTACTCAGCCTCGATTTTCGCCTCCAGCGCCTCCCAATTCTCGGCCGCCCTAATCATCTCCTCCGCCTTTGCAGCCGCCTCCCGCGCCTCAGCCTCTCTCTTCACCGGCGCCACGTCAGCCACGCTGCTGCTGTTGTAGGGCTGCAGGCGCGCCCGAGTGAGGGGTCCATTCATGTGGATCGGGGGGAAAGGCACCGGCGGAGGCTTCTCCCTAGCCTGTCGCTTTGATGACGACGCCTGGGGATTCGAGCCACCGCCTCCACCGCTGTTCAACGAGGTAGATTTCCGCTTCTGCGCCCCGCCCCTCCGACGGGACGTCGGCTGTTCAGAGGGCGGCGCCTCCGCCACGGATGCGGGCGGCGGTGGGGTTCCGGCGAGATCTCTTCGCTTCTCCTCCATTTTCTGGTGAGCTCCTCCTCTCAGTCAGACTCTGTGAACGCACACGCATCTGGTTTCGTGCATCTGTACAGAAGTATTGTTCCTCTGTGGCGCCGGCGTACTGGACGTATTGCGTGTCCGCATGAACTGTTTCTCGCAGTCGTCGATTAGTCTTCCTTAAAAATAATATCAACGGTTCTGATTGGAAGTTTTGATTCCTGGAAAAATGAAATAAATGTGTGTGAAGTCGCTAGCTACTCTCTGCCGCTTTTCAGGTCTGGAGTAAATAAAGGCGCGAATGGCTAAATAGCAAAGTATATGATGGTTACCTTGCTTACAACTCACTAGTGCGTGACCAGTACGATGCACGGGCTATATTTATTTGGGAATTATTATAATTCAAAGTGTATAAATAAATGAAGGAGTTATAGTACGTAGGAAAATTGTACAATTATATAATCTTGGTCAAAACAAAAATGATATATTATTAAAAACCTCTTTATACACAACATTATTAGTTTGATTATTGGGGAACTCATTGTTCCGACAAACTAATATTTTCAACTTGTTTCTATTAGTTACACGCGAAACAACAACATATTACTGGTCATGGCTAAAAACATGTTTCTTAAAATATAGCCCAACGTGAGATAAAGACTGACCCTTACTCTTATTGGTCATTACACAGGAAACCATAAGTGAAATTGTTGCCGCTGGAACTTAAATGGAATTGAACCCTAAGATCAGAAGAAGTAATATTCATTTTAGAAATTTGTAATTAAGTTTTAGTTGTTACAGTAGTAATAATGAATTAGATACGAAATATACTTTCAGAATTGGAATGCACTTTAAACAATTGTATTTGTATTAGTAACTAATTTTGTGATCAACTCCCTATGTGACAAATAAATATAGATGGTTTAATTTAAAGACTTAAATTTGTAGCATATTCTAATTTATATGATTTTAATATACAACATAAATATCATTTATCGTTTTTACAAGCCCCAAACATTTAAGCAAGGTTCATACAGAGCTAGTTTGAGAAAAATACTTGAATTGGACTAAATGAGCTTGAGAAGCATGATAAGCTCAATTCGATTCTTGGTTACACCGTGCAATTTAATCCAAATTTTCTTTCAACATAAATTGCAATATAAAAAATATGTGTATCAGTGTATGTTCT